AGGTTGGACTCTCTCCTCTCATCAGCTTAGCTGTCAGAAGAAGCCCTTAGTGTGTGCTGGGGTGTGTTGGAAGTGTGCATACTTGGACATTGTTAGGAAGACGAGAGAGGCTCAGGAAATGGGGGGGGGGAGGGGAGGGAGGGGAATGGGGAGGTTAGAAAAACCACTCCTGAGCAAGTTGTCTTTGAGGGACCATTTTTTTGCACACTACAATTGCTTCCCTTGAAAGGTGGAGTTTGAGATACGACCGGGGGTGGGTGGGTGTTTAAAAAGTACTGATTGGTGTTTTTGTTTGTTTGTGTGTGTGTGTGTGTGTGTGTGTGTGTCATGACTGTATAAAACAAAAATCCACGCTGTTGTGTATCTTTGGAGCTTTTCGACAGAGCACGAAGATCTCCTTCGAATCACAGCGCAGCCCTTCGGACGAGGGTCGTTCTCCCTCTTGCAGTGCCGCAGGGCTATAAAAGGTTTAGGCAAAGCTGCTAACCCCAGGCCAGGAAGGACTGTGGGGCTGGGGATTATGGGTGCTGTCAACCCATCTGAAGGGCCTCGGAGCACTCAGATCGGAACACTAAGGAGGGNGAGCACGAAGATCTCCTTCGAATCACAGCGCAGCCCTTCGGACGAGGGTCGTTCTCCCTCTTGCAGTGCCGCAGGGCTATAAAAGGTTTAGGCAAAGCTGCTAACCCCAGGCCAGGAAGGACTGTGGGGCTGGGGATTATGGGTGCTGTCAACCCATCTGAAGGGCCTCGGAGCACTCAGATCGGAACACTAAGGAGGGACGGATGGCCTTACTTGGTCCCTGAGAAGACTCTTTTTTGAAATCTGCCCCTTCCTGCAACTGAGTTTTGCAAGCAGCAAGGAAATCTGGCCAGTTAATATTGAGGTAGGTCAAAGCTGATCCGGTCTGCTCCCCAACTCCTTCAGATAGAGGAGGAGACTTCGGTGCTGTTGGTCGCTTCAGGGTTTTTAAGAAGCAGAATCCTTGTCAAGTCTTGGCAAGTCCTTTAGAGGTAGAGTTGTGAGCAGATGCTTGAGATGGGGCTAAAGTTAGTAGTGGAGACTCTGAAAAGTGTTAGCTGTGGAAATTAACCGGTTGTTGTGCTCTGAAGACAGGGCAGAGACTGCTGCTCGCCACGTGGATGACACAAGCAAAACCTGTGGGGTGGAGACTCTCGGATGACCAGGAAGCTTTGCTGAGACAGAGTCAAAAAATAAAAACTCCGGGTCTCTCTAGACAGGAAAAAGCAGAGTCTCCCTCGTAGCTTAAAGTTTCTTTGGAAGCTGCTTGAGTGTCAGGGTCAGAAAAATGGATACAGGTCAAAGAACTTGCACATTTAGATCAACACTTCCAAATTCAGACTTTCCTTCCCTCCCTGAATCCAGCACGGCAAAATCAGTCCTTGGTGGATGGAGCCACTTTTAGATCTTATTGTTGACAAGCCAAGGAAGGTTTGGCTAACTGGTTGCAAAAGCAGGCTTAAATCTATCTTTTAAAAAAAGTTTAAGTCTCTTAAAAAAAAGCCCCTCCTTTGGGTTCTCTTCCATGTGTCTGAAATTCTAGCAAATGCAGTTTTTCATTTCTATCTCCTCCGGAACTGCCATGGGATCAGAACTGGAAGAAATTCGCAAATTCCTGAGGTAGTTTATGACATTTCGAGTGGATGTAACTGAGTCTTCCTTTGGCTGGAGTCAACTGAAAACACCTCCCACAGAGGTCTTCTCACAACATCTGGAGCCCAGAAAACATCTGGCACAGAAAATTCTCTTTTTCATGCCGTTCTCCTAATCTACAGCAAGAGTGCCCCAAATTTATCAATTTATCTATTTATCCTTCTGTATAGATAGAAGACTCTACCTATAGATGTTATATTCTTTTCTAGAGCAAGATTCGTGGTTAAACTTTCTCGTGAGTTCAAGGCAGAAGGAATTGATTCCTGATGGCCTTATAGTTTGGCGTCTTCTATATGTGAATGAATTTGAACCATTACTCCAGGGTTGGCAGTTTTCCAGATATGTGGACTCCAACTCCCAGAATTCCAGTCAGCATAGCCATCACTGAGAATTCTGGGAGTTGAAGTCCACTCGCCTTCAGTTGGCCAAGGTTCAGAGACACTCCATTAGTTGGGTGTCAGTTGATCCAACCTGGTTTGATGTTGTAAGCTGCCCAGAGCTGCCTCGCAGTAAGATGGGTGACAAATTTAATAAATAAATAAGGAAATCTGGCTTTGTGAGGTCCTAAAAAGATGGCACAAGAAGAAGAAGAAAAAGAATTATCTGTGCATTTTCCTCCGAGTCCAGAAGGAAGGCAGATTGTGATTGATTTTGAGAAGGGGAAAAAAAAAATCCCGAATTTTCCTTGGCCTGGAAAAATGCATCTTAAGGTGTGGATTTGTTCGATCTTCCAGGAGGAGATGGTCTTTATTTCCTTGTTTTCAGAAGAAAGAATGGACGAGGACTTGAACTGCTTAAGAGAGACTGGGAAGATTTTCATTTTCTGCTGCTGATGCCATAACAAGGATGTGGAAATCCCGTGTAAATTTAACCAAGCTAATTTTCCCATCCTCTCAATTTGAAGAGGCTCTTCTTGATCCTATATTTGTGACGCAAAGATTTTTATTCTGGACAGTTATGAATTCTTCCGTTTGCTGTTATATGTCATCAATAAACAAGGAAAACAACTTTTGTTGGCTTTATCATGAATATGTTGGTCCATATATAATACAATCTTTTGAATTTACCTGCAAGGAAGGTTGGGCTTTCACTCATATATTTTAACTCTTTAATTTTACTGAGCATAAGGGAGTTAGAGATTTTTCTCTCTGAATTTTGTTGGCTGGAGGAGAGAAGATCAAGTGGAAAGATCTCCCTTTTTGCTAAGTGCAGCGTATTGTTCGTTACATCTGTTGAGAAGAGTCCTTGGGGTGCTCTAAAAATACTTAAAAATTTTGCCGATAGAAAATCAAATTTCTTGTGGGGCTTTTTAAGGAATGTCAAGTCGGAAGGCGTCGATGGCAGGGGTTTCTGTCTTGAAGTAAGGAGAATTGGGCTTAGCAGAAAATGTTTGAAATGAAAGCCATGCCGTGCTTTTATTTGATTTCCGAATAACACACGGGAGTGCAAATTATCTCCTGTGTATTTCCAAAATGCCATTTGGAGAAAGGTGTTCTGTGTCACATCGTTTCTGGAAAGGCGCAAAAATCGCCACCATGTTTTATGCAAGGAGTGAGCTCATTCTCTTGCTACTCTTTGGATTTGCATTGGGGGTGGACTATTATTCTAAGTCACATCCAGTTTGACTATTTTTTTTGCCTCCGGTGTTCAGCAAATCACTGCAATTGGTAAAGGAATCACATGATAAATGAATCCAACTTCTCCCATTAACTTTTCTTTCTTTCTTTCTTTCTCTCTCTCTCTCTCTTTCTTTCTTTCTTTTCTTCCTTCCTTCCTTCCTTCCTTCCTTTCTCTTTCCTTCCTTCCTTCCTTCCTTTCTCTTTCCTTCCTCATCCTTTTTTCTGTCTACCTACTTAATTTAAAACGTTTATACAGCCGCCCATTTTATAATCCTTTGGGGCCCTCCCATCCCTTGGCTGAAGCATCTCCAGCCCGGAGAGGGTCTCTCCCCCAACCTTTGCCCGGAAGGCATCTCCAGGCGAGACCTGTTTTTGATCAAAAGGTGCGCCTACCTGCACCTGAGTCCGGTAAGGAGAAGGGCGGGATATAAATCAAATTAAACAAACAAATTAAACAAACAAACCTTTGCTCCCATCTACGCCTCCCGAACTAAAACCGCCCTTGATGCTTTCGATCCCCCACCCCCCAATGGACAAGCCCAGGCGTGGCTGAGCGGGGGAACCCCCTGAAAGCCCCCCCAGCCAGACGAGGCTCCCTTTCCTGCTCGGACTTCCTTAATGAGAAAGAAGAAGAAAAAAAAGGGATTTATGTTGTTTTGTACCACTTTCCATCGCTTTCAACATTTCGAGCTGCCCCGGCCAATCAGCGCGCGGCATCCCTGGACACGCCCTCCCCCCCTCTCCTGGCCCGCCAATCGCGCTCTCCCGCCGGCGGGGGCGGGGCTTCGGCGCTTCCGCTTGGAGCAGCTCCGGGGCCGGGGCCGCGGCGGGGCGGGCGGGCGGGATGCGGCCGGGGGCGCCCGCGGGCGGCGGGTGGGCGGTGCGGGCGGCGCAGACGGGGCTCAGCTGGGGCGTCACCATGGGGCTCTTTCTGCACAACACAGGTGAGACCCCCCCC